TAGACTTCCTGTTTTAATCCCTTGGGTGTATCACATTGATGTTTCATGTCCAAAGAAACTATTTGTCATTAGATTTCTTTTTGTCCTATCACCACCAACAGGCAGTAGCAATCTCTACACCAGCAAGGAAGGGGAAAGGATTCAAAGTTAATTGGAAAGAGGTCTGGTCTTTACATCAGGATTAGGAGGGTTCCTTACACCTGTGTCTGTGTGACACTGTCGTTGTTTGAGATATATTATGCCAAACAACCCATTTGAATTCTTCACTTTATTGACTGATTTTTTTCTCCACTGGTTGGATTGAGTTGACCAATCTTTTCGTTGCCTTAGAACACCACCTAAAAGATTTCTGTTTTTCCGTTTTTCTGGTTAGGTCACTTTGAACCACCCCCAGGTACTAAACTTGTCTCCTCTGAACCTCCACATGTTTATTCCTTCTCTGCATGTTACTGAGTATGGGTTTCAGAGAGAACTTCACATGGCCGGAACAAGTAGTGGTAGGGGTGGGAGTAGGAAGCAAAGGAGGAACAAGCGGCAGGAAACTGTTACTGAGGTCATAGTGCTGGTGTTTTTCTCTTTGGATTCCTTCTTGAATTTTTTCATAGGGCTAGTCATTTGCAAGGGCTACATTTTTCAGACTTTCCAAGTTTATCCATCCAAATCTGTCTTCCTTCTGTTCTTTGTGTCAATCCCCCATGCTAGGCCAAGCCTATAGGGAAAGCTGGAACTTCCAGCACCATGCTGAATTAATAGTGGCGAGAACATATGTCCTTGCCTTCTCCTTGATCTTAGAGGGACAGCATTCAGCATTCAGTCTTTCACCATTATGTAAGATGCTAGCTGCATGTTTTTGTAGATGCTCTTTATTGAGTTGAAGAAGTTTCTCTTTATTCTTATTTTTTTCTGGGAGTTTTATTTTCTTGAATGGGTGTTGAATTTTGTCAAGTACTTTTTCTGCATCAATTGATATTATCATGCTATTTTCCTTTTTATTTATTTTTATTTATTTATTTTTTTGAGACAGAGTCTCACTGTGTTGCCCGGGCTAGAGTGCCGTGGCGTTAGCCTAGCTCACAGCAACCTCAAACTCCTGGGCTCAAGCGATCCTCCTGCCTCAGCCTCCGGAGTAGCTGGGACTACAGGCATGCACCACCATGCCTGGCTAATTTTTTGTATATATTTTTAGTTGTCCAATTAATTTCTTTCTAATTTTAGTAGAGACGGGGTCTCGCTCTTGCTCAGGCTGGTCTCGAACTCCTGAGCTCAAACGATCTGCCCACCTCGGCCTCCCAGAGAGCTAGGATTACAGGCGTGAGCCACTGCGCCCAGCCACTATTTTCCTTTTTAGACTGTTAATATCATGGGCTACACTGATGGATTTTTTAATATTTAACCAACCTCGGCCGGGCGCGATGTCTCACGCCTGTAATCTTAGCACTCTGGGAGGCCAAGGAGGGCAGATCGTTTGAGCTCAGGAGTTCGAGACCAGCCTGAGCAAGAGCGAGACCCCGTCTCTACTAAAAAAAATAGAAAGAAATTAGCTGGACAACTAAAAATATACATTTAAAAAATTAGCCGGGCATGGTGGTGCATGCCTGTAGTCCCGGCTACTCGGGAGGCTGAGGCAGGAGGATCGCTTGAGCCCAGGAGTCTGAGGTTGCTGTGAGCTAGGCTGATGCCATGGCACTCTAGCCCGGGCAACAGAGTGAGACTCTGTCTCAAAAAAAAAAAAAATATTTAACCAACCTTGCATCTTTGGAATGAATCCCATGGTATACAATATTATAAAGTATTGCTGAATTCTATTTGCTAATATTTTGTTAAGGTTCTTTTGCCTTTATATTCATGAAGGATATTGGTCTGCAGTTTCCTTTTTGTGTGTTGTCTTTGTATGGTTTTGGTGTCAGTGTAATAGTGATCTCACAAAATGATTTGGAAAGTGATCTCTCCTATTTTATTTTCTATAAGAGATTGTATAGAATTGGTGTTGATTCTTCCCTTAAACACTTGATAGAATTCTTCAGTGAAACTGTATGGGCCTGCGGATTTGTTTTCCAGAGTTTCAAATTTACATGTTCAATTTCCTTAATACTTATATAAAGCTATTTAAATGATCTATTTAATATTGGGTGAGTTGTGGTAGTTTTTGTTTTTTGAGGAATTGGTTCTTTTCGCATCTCTTTGTCCCATTTATGTGTGTAGAGTACTTGTTTTTAGTATTCTCTTATTATCCTTTTACTATCTCCAGGGTCTGGAGTGATGTCCCCTGTTTCATTCCTGATAGTCATCATTTGTGTCTTCTCTCTCTTTTTCTCCATCAGTCTCACTAGAAGGTTGACAATTTTATTGATCTTTTCAAAGCACCATCTCTTTTTGCATCATGTTAAGCCATTCAGGAATCTCCAAGGCAGCTGTTTCTTTCTTTTCAATTCATGTTTCTCCTCCATTCTACTTTACATAGTTAACATTTTGTTTCAATTGCCATTTCCTATTCCTGTGGGCTTTCCATTCCCCTGCTGTGTCTTGGCAGGCACTCCATTACTGTTTACCCTTCCTTTTGGCCTTGCTTTTGAAAGGTGATCACATCTTGCTGGTATTTCTATAAAATTTCATTTTTATCAAGATTGGTTTGCATCATAATTACACAAAACAACTGTGAATTCTAATTAGAACCATTATAGCTCCCTTGTAGAAAACTTGCCTAATAAAACCTAAAAGAATTTGGTAACTGTCGATTTTGAATATGTCCAAGAGTGCAATGCTGTGGTGTACTGCAAAGAACACTAGGCTTGGTAATACGATACTTGGGTTCAGGTCCTGGCTCTCCCACTTGCAATCTCAAGTAGTAGGCAGGGTGACTCTGCATTGCTCAGGTCTGCTCAGTAAGGCCTTGTGAATCACCAGTGGATCCAAGTGGATCTTGAAGTAGCATAAAGCTTCTGGAAACTGGCCATGCCCCACTTGTCATTCCTGGGGAGTAGCAGAGTTGTCCTTCATTAATGCCTTTTTGCCTTATTTCCACTCTGCCCAGCCTGGCTCAGCTGGAAAATTTACTGGCACAGGAACAGAACTGCCTTGAGCACTACCATTTCTACAGGTGTGCTTCTGAAATCCTCCCTGCCTAGAAATCTCTTTGCTATCTTCTCTGCCTGTCTGAATTCTAGCTCCCTTCCAGGGCCAGATTAATACCCCTTTCTCAGCTAGGTTTTCTCTGGCGATCTCAGACAAAACTCATGGCCCCTCTGAACTCCAGTAGGAACCCTTGCCCATGCCATCTACCACATCCTTCAGTGGCTTTATCTCTGGTCATCATATTGGTTGGGAGCATGGACTCTTGTCAAGACACACCTGGGCTTCAATCTTGGCTCTGTCATTTCCTAGCTGCATGACCTTAGCAACTGACTTCACCTCCCTGGACCTTAGTAGACTCCTCTATAAAATGAGAAGATAACCTCTGCCTGTTAGGGCTGTTGTAAAGATCAAATAAAATGTCATAAAAGCTATTAAGTGTGAAATAAATATTAGTGATATTTCTAATACAATAATAATTAAAAATCAAGGTTAAATGGGAAAATATTCATGAAATAATGTTATAATAGAAGAATTACAAAACCGTAGGTAAAGTAAGAAAGATTCAAGTGTGTGTGTGTGTGTGTGCTCACAAACATACATAAAAAGAATGGGAAGACACACTTCAAAATGTTGCTCTGGATGATGGTTAGCTCTGGATGATGGGATAATTGCTGGTTTTTCTTTTCTATATTTTGAATTTTTAGGATGGGATTGTCATAGATTTATAACTTAAAAATATTATTTAAAAAAGAAAAATCGAGGTCAGATGATTTATTCTTATTTGGTTATTTATACTCTCCCATACTTCAGAAAGGGTTTAGAGCAACATACAATATAGTAAGATAAAACTACAGTATAAAACAAAATAAAGCAAAGGAGAAAATACAGGTAGGAAAGATGCTATGTAGTGACACTGTTAAACATTTCTTGTGACTGTCTCATATTTTTATTGTTTTTTTAAAAGAAAGGATGTCCTAGGATTTCCTTTAGTCATGAGTTTAATAGGTAAGATTGACTTTGTAAAAGAAAGGCAGCATTTTATAATAAAATGGAATAATGTCAAAATGATACCTCAAATAGAAGAATTTTCTGCTAGTTTTCAGTGAGTTAATGATTCTGATTGTTTTGTTGTTGGCACAGTAGATAGCCCCAAGAAAGCCACAGTTGATATTGTCTATATTACATAATGCTTGTATGGTAAGTTGCAAGTCAGAAGCACAGATACTCCTAGTCTTATGATGGGGTTACATACTAATAAACCCATCATAAACTGAAAATATCATAAGTCAAAAATGTATTAATACACCTGACCTGATCATCATAGTTTAGCCTAGCAGACCGTAAATGTGCTCAGAACACTTACATTAGCCCAGTTGGGAAAAATCATCTAGCACAAAGCCTATTTATTTTATAATAAAGTGTTGAATATCTCAAGTACACAGTAGCTTGCCAAGGCAGGAAAACATCAAAATTCAAAAATCAAAGTATGGTTTCTGCTAAATGTGTATACTTTTGCACCATTGTAAAGTTGAAAAATCGTGAGTTCAACCATCATAAGTTAAGGACTGTCTGAATACATTTGATTAGCTTTGGTTTTGCTTATCTGTTTTGAATAAGTTGAATGGTGAGGCACGCTAGAGTAAAAAAACAAACCCAAAATGAGAGTGCAGTTCTTGCCCTGGCCCTGCTGTTTCTTAGCTAGGTTTTAACTCCTTGGTTTATTCCTCTCTTAGAAATTGAGGGATCTGGACAAGAGGATCTAACTTTGACCGCGTATAGTTTAGTAAAGTTGTAGTTTCACTTGTTAGTAATGTGCATTTCCATTGATTCTTCTGCTTGGAATCTTTATATTATGTTAGTCAACTTATGTTATAAAATGTTCATCATAGACTTGTATGATATTAACATAATTTAAATCTTTTTCACAGAGAGACCTCTCTCCCCCAAGGCTGTCAAAGGATTTGAAACTGCTCCACTTACCAAGAATTATTATACTGTGGTGAGTGCTCAGATGATGGCCAAAATTTTTTTTCACTCTATATGGAATCTTTTCACTTGTCAAATCATTGATGTATTGAGGTGACACAAAGGAAAAACTGAATAAAGTTGCATGCAAGGGTCCAATGTCATTTGCATTATAAAGGAGCTCTTCTACTTGTAAGCTCCTTACAGATGTCTAGAAGTTTTACATCTACCGTTCTGAAAAATGCAAGGATAGCTCAAAGATTTAGAGCGAGGCCTATGAAACAGTAGTAAAAGAGAAGTTGGTTAATGTGTAGGCATTATGGTGAAATTCAGCAGTTAGAGATAGTCTTACCAGATATTTAGAAGGTGAATTCCCAAGTTCCTGTAATGCAGTAAGTTTTAAGTGATTGCATTCTGTGATTTTACTTTGGAATCAATCACTCCATTATTATATCCTCTGGAATATTATCAGCTTTGTTCTTGAGGACAGCCCAAAAGGAAAACTGCCCTTTGGCACAGTGAGAGGAATGAAATGGCTCTGACTTGAACACAGATATGTCAAAATATATTAGCTATAAATAGGGCATGTGCAATACTCAAAATAAGTTCCTGTTTGAAAAAGAAATCGTATCATTCTCCTTAATCTACTCTCTACTTTCCTTCATGTCTTCTTTCCAGACTTGGCCTAGTCACTAATGAAAAGGTCAAGTCATCATTACCTGTAAGTTTCCCTGTCTGTTAGCCTTGTCATCTCCCCCCACCTCTGCTGAAATAGAAGCTTCAGTTTTTACCCAGTGTTCTATGTGCATTTGTACTGCCTACTCATTTCATTTTGTGCATGGATAGTTTTAAAACATCTCTACACAGGTATGTGAATGTCATTTGGTTTCAAAAAGTTGGATTTCACTCTTCGATGAATTTGCTCCATAATAATGACATGACCAGTAGGTGATATGAAAAATCAGGAAGGAACTTCCTAGGTCACCTGAACAATAATCATTGGGGACTATTTTGTCAATATTTTCCCTCTTAAATTTCCGAGGTTAAAATATATCACCCAGCAGAATTAAACTTCCTTCTGCCTTCCTTCCTCACCACTTCATTTAGCTTTTTAGGTGAACCCTAATTTTTAAAGAAAGGACATAGTTGAATGATGGATGAAAATGTTACCATAGCTTCTTTTCCCTGTGGATCTGGAGCATATCATCGCTCTGCTTTGGATCTCTCTCTGCTTCTGCTGATTCTACCAATTTAAAATGCTGTTGAGCTTTATGTAAATTCTATGTATATTGTGTTCGAACTCTGGATATACTGCAGTTCATATAATCCACCTCCTATTGGAAGACATGTGCATTGTTTCTAGTTCCTTGCTATTATAAACAACTCCGCATTGAGCAGTTTATACATATAACTACCAAAGTATGTAAAAATCTGGACAGTGGAAGTTAAATTGTTCAGTCAAAAAATATATATGTTCAAAAAAATTTTGATAGATATTGTCTCAAATCTTACACTTAATAAAGAAAATAGAAGGTCTTGGGGAGCTCATGATGGCCTGTGAAGAACCTGTAGAACTTTGGTGTGGATATAGCTGAATTACTGAATAGAGACCAATTGGACATATTGTTGTAACTGGGTATGGATGTGAAAAGATTTTGGTTGGTTGTTGCTGTTCTTATTAAATCCACATTTCTTTGGCTTTGAGCATTTAGGCAAATTTTTAGTGGCCATTAATTCAAAATATGTTCTGAGTGCTCTAATTTTACTGCCAATCTGTGTTGAATACTTAGACAAATAAAAAAATTTCTGTCTCACCCGTAGGATTTGGAGACCTGGAAGATGAATTTCACTCACATGAAAGGTGCCCCTATCTGATCTTATATTAACTTTTCTTCCCTCTAAGAGTCATTAATTGTAGACATTTTCTGTTGTTAGATCTATAAGAATACTAGTGACTGACTTTTACTCCATTTTTAAAAAAAGAAATAACATTTTTCTAATAATATAAGTAATTATATAAATAACTTTCTTGTTTAAAATAAAAACACAATGTACAAAGAGTTTAAAAGAGAAAATATATATCACGTATAATCCTACCACTTAGAACGAATCAATATTATAATAACATGTTGGTGAATCTCATGCCAAACTTTCTTTGAAATAGTCACGTATTTGCATATATATGCATATTTATAGCCTGTAATATATATGTGTGTATATACGTTTTTAAATAAAAACAGGAAACTATGTATTCTTTATTTATCTTTAATGAAGATTTTTCTATCCCTACACCCCAACAATACTTGTCTCTGACCAGACCTGTTCTTATGCGCTTCCATTTAGTGAGTCTTTGCTAATCCAAGGCTCCCTTTATTTTGTTACTGTGTATTAGTCATGTTCTCCAAATAGAACCACAGAACCCATAGAAGAAAGAGAGAGAGAGAGAGATTTATTATAAGGAATTGGCTCATGTGACAATGGAGGCTGAAAAGTCCTACAATCTGCTGATCTGAAAGCTGGAGACCCTAGAAAGCTGATGGTATAATTGTCCAAGTCCAAAGGCCTGAGTACCAGAGAGCTGATGGCATAAGTTTCATTCAGAGGGCAGGAGAAGACCAACGTTCTAGCTCAAATAGGCAGTGAAAACAAATGCTCCCTTCCTCCACCTTTTTGTTCCATTTAGGCCCTCAGTGGATTGGATGGTGCCCACCCACTTTGGAGAGGCAACCTGCTTTACTCAGTCCACTGATGTAAAAGCTAATCTCATCCAGAAACACCCTCATAGACACACCCAGAAATAATGTTTACCTAAATATCTGGGCACCCTGCAATCCAGTCAAGTTGACACATAAAATTAATCATCACATCCTGTAAACTTAGGCAGGACAGAGACCTCTTGGAATATGCAAGTCTACAGACATCTTCTCTCCCTTTTCAAGTTTCCAAGAGATTGTCTGCTTATTTCAGCCCCATTTAGGCCTTGATGTAGTTTTGGAGTCATGTCAATTTTTAAATGTTAAGTTCTCCAGTGTGACCAAGGTGGCTTTGAGCACCCAGCTCAGACCCACACCTGCCATGAGGCATGTTTAATGTGTGCAACTGAGGCTTGGCCACTCCTTCTGGAGCTTAGCATCCTTTAGGGATGTGGCAGCCCAGAGTAAGCTTTTGCTGCCTCTGACCTTGGTCCCTTCATTGTCCTCAAACTTTGCTGCCATATGTTAAATTTCTCTCACCATTGACAAAAAGCATTTCACTTTTCTATTAATTATTTTTCTAATAATCTTATTCTGCTCACTGGCTTTGTTGAGACAGAGTCTTACTCTGTTGCCTGGGCTAGAGAGTGCTGTGGTGTCAGCCTAGCTCACAGCAACCTCAAACTCCTGGGCTCAAGCGATCCTCCTGCCTCAGCCTCCGGAGTAGCTGGGACTACAGGCATGTGCCACCATGCTTGGCTAATTTTTCTATTTTTAGTAGAGATGGGGTCTCACTCTTGTTTAGGCTGGTCTCGAACTCCTGAGCTCAAGTGATCCTCCCACCTCAGCCTCCCAGAGTGCTAGAATTATAGGCATGAGCCACCACGCCCGGCCACCCATTGCTACTTGATGTTATGTGCCAGGAAGGACTAAAAAGTAAAAATCAGGAAAAAGAATCTATGCAGCTTAGTTGTCAGGCTTAATTTGTATGCAGCACTTAGATCTTGGCACCCATGGTCTCATTGGGAAGGCAGGATAGACATGAATAGTGTAAGCCACATGTAGAGAATGATGTGAAGTTGTAAAGTGTCATAAGATGAGTTTCTCAAAATGTGTTTAGGGGATCCTTTGCATCAGAAGCACCTGGGGAACTTGTTAAAACTACAGACCTATGGGCCTCACCCCTGACCTGCTATGTCAGAATCTCTGGCCATAGATCCCAGAAAACAGCATTTTTAACAATTCCCCTCACCTTTTCCTCAACCTCTTTCCCTCAACCCACAGGTGGTTATGATGCTCACTTACATTAAAATTTGAGAACCAATCAAGGGAAAAGTTGAATGGAGGAAGTAGGATTCAAAGCAAGTCTTAGAGGAAGGTCAGAACTTTAGACAAGCAGAGAAGAGCTGAAAGGGAATTCAGGCAGGAGGAACTATCCGAGCAAATTCCCCCAGGCAAGAATGTGTGTGTCTGCAATTAGTCCCTGAAGGTCAGAGAGTGGACCCCACTCTCCTTCCCCCATTTCAATGTCCCGTGGAAGATGGAATTCTTTAGTTATTGCAGCACACTGTAATAAAGCTGTCCTTTGTGCTGTCACAAATGGGCCAGACTTACAGTAATCCTAATATTCAACTCTGGGGACGAGCATCTGTCTGCAGAGTGAAAGGTGGCATTTCCCTACATTCAAATAGGAAACTATAATCAGTAAGGACCAGTATTATTTACCTTGTTCAAATTTTTTTCTACTTCACGTAACTTACAGTAGATGCCTGGAGGGCATGTTTTGTGGAACCTGCACTCGCTGTAGGGAAGGTGGAGGAAGGCTGTGGCTTGTTACATCACAAAACTCCCAGGAAGCCTCCTGTAACCCTTGCTCTAGCCTCTGGCCTTCTGCTCACCCTCATTTTCTCTCTCACTTGTCTATCTGCCCACTCACTCCCAGCCTGGATGTTCTCGATCTTTCTAATGCTCACCCAACCTTTCAATTCCACCAGCCTAAACCACCTTAAGCATCTATCTGTTGATTTTCTTCTCCATATGCCTTCTTATTTTTTACCTACCCTCTTCTCATCTTACTCCTCCATACATCTTTTCTATCCAAGGACTGGAGATGAAGGAGGTTACAGGATTTTGTGGAGTTTGTGCGTCTATCTGTGGGTAATGGGGGATAGTGCTACTTATTTTGGGAAAGCTGAGGGCCTGGGCTGCAGAATCAATCACTGCATTTTTATATAGGCAGGCAATTTTACTGGCTTCAAAGTTAAATATGACAAAATACACTGATTATTGCCTTTTTTGGTCTCAAAGGACTTTACCAACATTAGCTCATTTTTATAGGCAC